CCTTATCGCAAACGACCTTAACGGTTTGCGCGATGTGCATTCGGTTCCAGAGTCTTTAGCATAGAACCATTAGCATATTAACTGCATACATTTAAGTACAGGCTGTGAAGGCAGACAGCCTTCCTTACATGCAGCCCACATTAAAAGTAGAAATCAATATACTTTGTGTGGTAGCATATTGACAGGGGTGACAACTTTTATGCATCATTGTGGGGAAATAGCAACCCAAGGAGCATGGTCAGTAAATGAAGTTCAGAAAGATGGTTTGGCGTTATAGTTAGCTTTTTTTCTCATACCTTTTCGTAATTTTCTAGCTATAAATGTTGGCTGGGAGGTGGAGGAATCAGCACTGAGCGGGCCCAACCGAACATAGATACTGGGTAGTGTCCCAGAAATTAATTCGAATTGATACTCCTGCATTAAACATGATAGACGTCACAAATAACTTTATATTTGGATGCTTCTTGCGTGCAAAGGGCAATTTTGGCTCGCTGATTGAATATCTACCAATGTTTGGATGTTGCGAATGAAATGTGTCATCCTGCTGTGACAGTTGTTGTTATGATCTGAAATGCAGATTTTTACACCAGCATAAATACAATAGATAAAAAGGGATGACAGCCAACAATTTTAACCCTTACACTAATGGGCCCGTTTTTGTAACGCGGACTAGTGGGGGGGGGGGGGGGGGGCGGAGGATTCCCTGACGTTTGCAAACTAAAAAAGGCAAAGCGTCGCAAAAAACAAGCAAACAGTGAACTGCCTCCAGCTAGATCTTCTAGTTGGTAAGAAGTCTTCTTTGTTTAACTGACACCATTAGACCAAGTCAAAGGCCAAATTTTCCTGAAAACTAAACATCAGCTTTGCATGCTCATATAAGCGAGATCATGCAATGAAGTAACATGGAACATAAGGAGGCGTGTCCCTTGCTTTTATATTAGTAAAATGACATTTATTTTTACCTGTTTGGAGATCCACCTGATGGGAAGTTATTGACAAATTTCAATACAATTTGCTTGCGGGGGCACGTCGAAGGGCGCCCACCAGTCAAAACGTGTTGCGCTAGGCTGGGGCATGCTTAAGGTATGGTGGATATTTTGATGACAGTTGAGATGGGCTCGAAGCGCAAACGTGATGTGATGAAAGAGACCTTCGGTGATAGGCTGATTACTGATGACTCTACGGGACATGGGCTTAATAACCATCTCGTCATATAGTACCACATTAAGCTGCTGGCGACAATTTTTCCTCCAAAAATTTGGTCGGCGAAAAAATGCAATTTTACCACCCCTGCTATAACGCTTGTTGCTAAGGGGCAAGAGGCTCAGTACGTCACGTCCCACAATTAGACGAAAGGTTTCAACGATCTTGACATCGAACACTGAATGTCTCATGCCACGTGCAGACAGAAACTGGATAAACCAAAAATAAGGCGCACAAAAAAGGCAGTATTTACCACCGTGGCAAACTGGTGGAGCGTGGTGAAAATATGTTCTCTGAGCATGGGTAAGCACAGGTATGTGGAAACGGCCATCACTGAGAGAAGTCATGTTTGCCAGGTGCTGCGAGATAATAATGCTACTCTGACACATTCCACAAGTCACTACAAGGAAGTGCATACGTCAAAAGACATTGATGGACAGATGATAGACGGCTTTCTTGGGAGCGATCAAATAATGTTCTTGGTGAGCAAGAATGGGAGCAATGTGAGAGCATTATTACATGCAAATAATACAAGCTGGCGTTGAGCAGAATAAACATGACAAGCCTCGCGCTGTCGCGGGATTTGCTGTATTCGCGCAGTTTTGTAATGACCTCGGGAGTGCTTAGTCACGTACATCAATGACGCTTTCCTTAACGCTTTTTGATAATACAGTGACGCAGCAACAAGAAAGGAGACCAGACCCTATTACGAAACAAAAGGTCTATATCTCATAAGACACCATTCACAAGATCGTTGCAAAGCCGATTGGCCCTCGCATGGCAAACACCATCCATAGAATGAACGTCCACTGAGCAGAATGGTATTCAACTTGACAATGCAAATCTTGGCGATTTGCATGAAAATAAATGCAAATCCTTCAGACACCAATGGGTAAAGCAGTGGTCAAATTACACTCATATGATGTCAACGTAACGTTGCGTGTCAAGACCGGCCATGAGCATAGGCAATGCTGCAGCCTAGAGGTGCCCATTGGATTCCAAATTCTTGAAATTCCTAGGATTTCCAAAGTGCAAGTTGTAAATTGGACGGATAAGGACAACATTTTTCGGATTTTTTACAGCTGATACCATTACGTCTTGTCACAGCTTGGTATGTATCTCAGCTTAATACAGATACTCATTGCTTACCCACAATCATTGATTCAAGTGAGAGAATGCAGCGAGGTGATTAGGGACTGGGGTTATTGATTGTAGGTGTAATTTATTGATGTACAGAATTGAACATCTCTGAACAACCTGATTTTTTGGCACTTTTTGGACGGACAGCTGGTCCATCTTTTGACTGGATGAAACTCTAGACAATACCTTCCAAAAACGGCACTGGGATGCACGCCGTGGATGAGTTTGGTAAAGTTTCTGGGCCGGGTCTAAACGGAGTTGGGTCTATACAAGACTAGGGTTATGTAGTCAGGTTCTCAGAATGGCAGTAACAAGTCCGTTCAAGAATTACAGGCTGTAAACAAAGTAAAAGCACAGGGCATATGGCCCAGCGCAAACCTGTCATGTGATACAGATAACGTATCGTCCGTGTTCACAAACATACACGATATAACACCCAAATACCCAAACAGAGCCCGCGGTAAAAAAAAATATCCATTGTCATCTCAGCTCGTCTTAATAACCTCACGCGTGAAGTTCGCGAAAAAACCTAACGGCGATTCAGATCAAACTAATGCAGCCATTCAGGGCGGACTGACAGCGAGACGGAACGTACCAGGCGATGGAGAGGCTGGAGGCGGTGAGGTCGCCGGCCGTCCTCGTATCAATCGAGTAACTGGAGGTGAAGAAGCGGCCTCTGATGGTGACCAGCGAGCCGGGCGGGCCGGCGGCCGGCTCCACCGACTCCACATACGGCGTCCAGCTCTCGCGGAACTGCGACAGTCGCCACGTCATCCGACGGTCAGCGACGTCAGCAAACCATGCCATACCCGTGTCAGCGGAGCTGAGAAGGATCGAGCATATCTCGTGTCGGGGAGCGCAGTGCTGGGTATGTGCTATGCCAAGGGAGTGCGGATAATTTGGAGAGCAACGCGAACAATACGGCATGGCGGTTGTGAGATGCTGCCTCGCTGTGGTCCATCTCACTGACCTCGATTGGAACGTCCGCCGGTTGATACCGCCTGGCCGTCGACGGTTAGTTTGAGCGAGTACTGGCTGCTCAGGACCGCTGTCGACCCTGTGGTGCCCTGAAGCCAGGACCACGCCGGCTCGTCAGCTGGCAACCACAGGCGACGCGCTCACCACCGCCGGCTCGTCGCTAACCACCACGGAGGGCACGCTCACCCACACCGGCTCGTCAGCTAACACCACAGACGGCACGCTCACCACACCGGCTCGTCAGCTGCAACCAACGGAAGGCACGCTCTACCACAACGGCTCGTCAGCTGCGCCAAAGATGGCACTGCTCACCACACCTGCCTCGTCAGCTGGCACCACGGAGGGCACGCTCACCACACCGGCTCGTCAGCTGGCGCCAAAGATGGCACGCTCACCACACCGGTTCGTCAGCTGACACCACAGGAGGCACGCACCACCACACCGGCTCGTCAGCTGGCGCCAAAGATGGCACGCTCACCACACCGGCTCGTCAGCTGGCACCACGGAGGGCACGCTCACTACACCGGCTCGTCAGTTGGCACCACAGACGGCACGCTCACCACATCGGCTCGTCAGCTGGCACCACAGACGGCACGCTCACCACACCGGCTCGTCAGCTGGCGCCACAGACGGCACGCTCACCACACCGGCTCGCCAGCTGGCGCCAAAGACGGCACGCTCACCACACCGGTTCGTCAGCTGACACGGCAATGTGGGCAAGCTCATGAAGGAGTCCATGAACACCACTATGACGCCGCCTGATCGGAGTTCCCACGCCCATGCTTGAAGGAAATGCTCTACAAGTGAAGAAATTGAAGCAAGCATCAAATATGATGAAATATGGTCAATTGTAACTATTGGTATGCCTTTAAGTGAAAAGACTGTCCTACACCACACAATTTCTCTAGTTTTTGAATATGCTCCTCAATACGTCATTGTTTGATCAGGTCATTGTACCTTGCACAACATTGACTGAGAGCCAATTGACGGCCGTTAGATATGAAAACCGTGCTTACGAACGCCAGATATGGGCGAATCGACAATGATCTCTTTATTGGCCTCGATCGACGCGTGGCCGACGGAATGGTGGGATTTGAATGACGTTATTATGGCGACGTGGATGCCTGAGTGACGTTGAAATAGTCTTCCCGAAATGGTCTGAACGTCTTCGCGGGCTTGTAGCTGAGAAACTAGAAGGCTTAGATCTTAAGAAGAGCAGGGCTGTGAACTGCACCGAATACTGCAAAATGTCTAGCTTAGTTCAAAATCCCGTAATATGTGTAACAATCCCTATAGCTTTTCACATAATCGCCAAGGCAACGCCAATGTCAGTCGGTATGGAACTTGGAGACAAAAATCGGTGGTTCTACGTAAATAAAGACGGAGACGTAAGGAATCAACGTCCAGCACTCACCCGACAGTACAGATGATTCTGGTGGCGCTGGTCTTGTAGACGTTCACCTTGCAGGGCACCGTGTCCCAGTCGTTGACGAAGGTCACGGAGTTTCCCAACTCGGGCTGGAACTGGGAGTACTGGTCCTCCGCGAAGCCTGCCGGCATCAGCGTTTTGACGCGCCGACCCTAGTGTGCTGCTCTGACCCAGCCGCACGGTTGACGTGCGGCCGGCGGGCGAAATAGGCACTTCCACGGTCTTAATCGCAACTGCTAAACGCGTCGCATGGCTGATCTTAACGCGCTGGGTTTGCTCCGGTAGTTCCAACATGTTAGTCTGTAATGAACTGGACAACTTGGAAATATGTTGTGCCGCCATCACGTTTATATTCAAGTTTCAGAGTTATTGTGGAAATTATAGCATCATCAAGCTACGACACATATCTATGCCGCTTCCCCGAAGTATTCTCACCCGCTTTGTTGGGCTACACACTGAAATGCTTGATTTATCACATTGATGCTTACTGAATGAACATAACAAGTAAGAAATAATGCCGTCGTTTTGTAAAACCATTCCGATCTTTCCTCGAAGGTGAGCATGCCAAAGGCCGAGAAGCCGTCTGTGTGTTTTTTAAACTACATGCGCTTTCGATCAACTTTCGCTTTGTCTCTACGTAAATACTTAACATGCCGCGCGTTGACCACGAGAATCCTTACCTGACCCCTCGATCTGGATTTCTCCACCATTTCTTCCGACGTATCCTGGGTTTATCCTCCGCACGAAGGCCGCATCGAGTCCCACTGCACGAGACCAGCATGGATTTACGGAAGGATTGATGCAAGGCATTGGCATCACGTATGGCGTTCTGTTCAGACTATCCTCAACGTCTGACGCGTTAGCACGCACACCACATTTCACCATTTAATTCCCCGGACGGGGGCAAGAGCTATTGAGCTGAGAAGAAATGGATGGTGTACGGCTTTCAGCCGCAAATGCGAACAACCCGACTGTTCTCCTTGGAAATGCTAGGACTTAGCCAGGACATTCTAAATAAGAGTCAAGCGTTTTAACACTGGGCTGAGAGGGAAGTCTATGGAGTATGGTAAAACGTTGCCTAACCCATTCCTTAACACTATTTTGAACAACCCCGTTGTCTCATTGCTCATCGAAGCCAAGAACCGAACTATTGACTCGACAATCTGCTAAGCCTGCCAGCATTGGCCCCATTCCACGCTTATGTGACGACACAGAGATGTCCCACGGATGTGGCACTCCCCAGTATACCACACATGTTCTGACACCACTAGTGATCATACACCAGTATCCCTGGGCGTTACAGGTCTCCAGCTGTTTTTTTTTTTTTGGTCGGGGCCCACTGTACTTGATAAGACACGAATTACGACCGGTTCTCTAACATCACTGGAAGGCCATTGCGGCGAATTTCGTGCAAGGTTAGGACCACTCCACGTGAGAGCTCTGTTTCCATCTTTCAGGACCTTTCCTCTCACTCCCAGCCTCCAACTGCTGGCGGACCGAGCGCTCGCCAGCGCCACCTACCGACAAGCAGCAGAGCGGAGACAAGCGGAAGCCAGCCCCGGCCGGCCGTCGACAGCAGCGTCCCGCCGAGCGTCATGTCGGGGTGGGGACCCGGGCGGCAGTGGCGGCGACGGCGGCGGCGGCGGCGGCGGCGCGCCGGTGGATCGCTGTTGACCGCGGTTGCCAGGCGAGCACGCCATCCATGGTGCGGTGCCGCCGGAGGCCGAGCAGGCTCGCTCGCCAGCGCCGATGGCAGGCTAGATGTGAGGAACGGCTTGTAGAAGGGAAGACAAGTGGGGGTGCTCGGCGGAAGCACTAGGTCGGTCGAAGCACACTCCCTTAAGGCTTAACGTCAGCTTTGTTTTTATGGTTTCCCATGTGCGAAGCTGTGCGCTTATTTGCGGGGTGCCAGGTTTCTGGCGCCTTCTAATGTCGGTGCCCAGCCGCCGCCACCGTTGCAGGATTTTAGACAATTTTTGTGCTTCCAAAGGGTAGTAAGTTGCTACAATATAGTTTGTTTTTGACTGACATAAATTTGGCTAGATATCATGCACTTTGAAGACAGTTGGTCCAAATGATTGTCCCAGTTCATCATTTACTTAGGCATGTAATCTCTTTTTCTCAGTGGCTTGACTGCGCAAAAAAGAGAAAAATTCACACCCCGTAATGCCTCGCAGAATTCAAACGCCAACCGTATCGCGCATTATTTCCAGATATTTACTTTCCTCGTGCCAGGAACAATTAAGGGCACGAGTTAAAGGTACGCTTATTGGACGGAGTCGCACAACGCGCAATAAATATTGTCACACTTTTTTAAACACTGAGAAATAACCCAGCACGTGTTTGATTATGCTGTCTTGCTTTCATTGCGTTGTGCAACGTATTCGAATATTTCTGCAGTCTCCGCTGCCATGGGGATCAGCATGGCGCAGCAGTGCTGTGTGCCTCGCATGACAGAAGTTCGCGGATTCATGACGGCAGTGAGATGTCATACTGTGAACGTAATCCCTCATAATATCAATCCATCCGACAAAGTGAAGCCAATAACAAAATAACTCAACGCCACGTGTCGTTTTCTCCCACGTCGCACACAAGCAGCTACACGGTTGAAACTAAACAACCAGCATGTCTGAATTATGTTCTGTTACGCACAGTCCCTGTTAGGGCTTTACGGCATCGCACTGGAATGGCTTCAATCGAGGATGGTAACGACAATAACAAGTTTAAGCACATAATATGCTGTTTTGTGTGACCTGCTGTACACGGACAAGATCTGTGGAACTCACGGTTTCCTCGAGGTAAAATACACAGTAATATTGGAGTTTCGCAGACTGGCATGCTGGCTGACATTTTTGCAGATAACATTGGTAGAATCTAGTTCACTAAATTGCGACCGTACGTCTGTCTGCCACTCTGTCTGTCTGTGCGCATTACTTTAGCCAGCGCAGTCAGTGGAGGATCTAGGATGTCGTCAATGGCTGACCACGCATCATTGTGCCCCTCCCTCCCCCCCCCCTCCCCCGTGGAGTTTAGGGCACCTCCAAAAGTATCCGTGGATTTGTGTCACTTAATGTTAAGACTATCATGCATGCTATGTTGTACACGGAAAGCCATCTCTCTGTGCGCAGCTCTAGAAATCGTGGTACTTATGCACAGACATGGAGTGCGTTTACTTCCTGCAGATCATGGTGGATCATATTATTTTGAAAGTATATATTTCAGAGGAAATATAACAAAATGTGTTAAATTTGACCGCTTAATAACACCAAAAATCCAAAACGACATCTCATCCCAAGGCTGGTTGCGGCTAGCCAGTTTCCGGTGGATAGCCGACTAGTCGATGTCGATGGGCTGTGAACTGTACCAAATGATCTTAAAGATGGCTATTTCAGTTAACCTCATACAGTAACCTCATGCAGATGTCGAACATTCCCTTCCATGCCTGCTGGGATATTATTGTATAACTTTGACGTTCGAGGAATAAAAGCGAAGGCTGATATGTATGCAAACCGCTTAATGCAGAAAAAAACTTTGAGGCTTGCACTAACCTGCACAGTCATTTGCCGAATGGTAGCTAGATTTGCGAAGGGTGGGGTGCTAGAGTGAAGACAGGAGAAGAGAGAGAGATGAGAGAGAGAGAGAGGAGAGAGAGAGAGAGAGAGAGAGAGAGAGAGAGAGAGATAGAGAGAGAGAGAGAGAGAGAGAGAGAGAGAGAGAGAGAGAGAGAGAGAGAGAGAGGAGAGAGAGAGAGAGAGAGAGAGAGCCTCTCTCTCTTTCTCTCCATTTTGCCTTTCATCCCTTCTCTCTCTATATATCTCTCCCTATTTCTCACCCTCCACCTCAGCTTCTTTCACCAACAAAGGCGCCAATAACTCTTCAAATCTTCAAGAAACTGCAACTATTCATCAAGCTACCTTTCTCTCCCCTCTCACGTCTAGACATACGAGACCCTCCTCTCCTCCTCTCACACATATCGCGTTAAACGGGAGTTTAATTAGTTCAGCGCCGCAATGATCCAGCGCTCACAAGCCATCATCGATTGCTCTTGTCTGTCATCCGGTCCGGTATCAACCGCCCGAGAACTGGTCTGCAGCTCCTCTCCCAAGACTACCAGCCAATCACAGGGCGACGTGCCTAGGTGGGCGGAGTTACGCTCCGCCATTGGCTATCTGCCAGACACGCGTTGTATAAGGTCGCTAGCATGGAAGGACAGCAGCCCAGTGTGTTTTGAAAACGTAGCAAAGACAATTCGTCAACAAATAGGTAAGGGGATGAAGGTACTCTTGGTGCCTTCATTTCAAAGCTTCCTGGCATGTGAAGGGAGTGTTCCATATTTGTATCGAGTTTTGAACTGAAATAGTCATCTTGAAATCATTCGGTGCAGTTCCAAGTAGTGCCCTTCTGAAGACCTAAACCACTGTATTTTCTGACCCACACGCTCCTGACCTATGGAAATGTGCAGAATATTTCGGGGAGACTATTTCAAGGTCACCCAGGCGTACATGACATCATGAGAACGTCATTCAAATCCTGCCATTTCATTATCCATGCGACGATCAAGGCCAAGAAAAATACAATTGTCGAATCGTTCATTTCTGGCGTTCTTGAGCGCGATTTTCAGATATAACGGCCCTCAGTTGGCTCTCAATCGACGTTGTGCAACACACGATGACGTAATCAAACAATGGCGTATTGGGGATTTTTATCTAAACTCTTTTACCTTTTATTTACTAAACGGAGCAAATGCGTTCTCTAGAACAGTCGTTTCCGCTTAGAAGTATGCCAATGGTCGTAATTTAGCTTATTATAGCATCTCTGATGCTTGCTTCAATATGTTCAAATGTGGAACATTGCCTTTAACCACGCTGCGGTATCATGGATGGAGCAGTGCTTAATGTTCGTGCATGAACAACGTCTGGGCCGACCAATTCCCCGGCCGTCGAACGGTTCTGAGAAAATTTTAGAATCTCTGGCAGAAGACCATGTTGTCACGGGTTCGGAAGCTGCTGACAGTTTTGAGGTCCGAACCCACGATTTTGGTATTTGGTATATAGGCTAAAACCTTGCGACCAGACCACCGGTTGCGCGTTAGAAGTTCCTTTCACTCATAGACGTAATTTTTGCGACAAGATATCTATAAAGGGGGGGGGGGGCATATTGTTTCACGCTTGCTTGGTGATGGGACTCAAGACCGGGGCCACGTGTGGCACACCCGGTCTGCTGTATTTCTCAGTGTTTCTCCGTGTCGATGAAGGTCACGTCATTCCTAGAGGTCGAAAAATGTGCTTGGCTGCCTCTCAACAGCCCTTTCCGGGCTCACAGTCACTCTCCTCAGCCAGTTCGAGGAAACAGGCTCATAAGATTAAATTATGAACATTTATATAGTTCAATTACCTACTGCGCACAGTCACATTAGCACAGACACCACTAATAGACATTTCTGACTCCCATTATAAACAACAGGAAAACGAACACAATGTTGATGTGAACCAAACCTATCCTCCCGATAAATGGTTGCCCACCATTCTGCGACGTCCGTGCTTGCCATATTCTTTCCATACCGAAGCCGCTATTTTTCAACAAAACATACTTGAAGCCATGATTGTTGACGATGTGTCTATTAAGCTTATATATATATATATATATATATATATATATATATATATATATATATATATATATATATATATATATCTCTCTCTCTCTCTCTCTCTCTCTCTCTCTCTCTCTCTCTCTCTCTCTCTTTCTCTCTCTCTTCTACGACACTTCCACTAATATGTCTGCCACGAGCGTGATGGGCGGGTGGACGGGATCATCTATCTTCCAGTCCGACGTCCCCTCCAAAAGCTGCCATTCCCCGGCAATGTTCGCCGCGTAACGGCGCACGCGCACGCCTGGTCAAAGTTCAGCACATTGTAAACAACAGCTAAGGGTCGCGGGAGACACTATACTTGCGCCAACTGCCATATTTTACGCCTTTTCATCCAGTTGCATGTAGCATTGCGACACAAATAGGTGGATATTTTTATTTTTTACACACTTCCGGCTTTTTAAAACTTTGATGGGCCTTTCTCCCTCCAAAGAGCGTTTGTTTTAAATTAACGTCAAAATGCGTCATAAAGTTACATTACTGTCACCACAGAAATAATGCGTAGAATTCTGACGGGATCCGGTCAAACACCATTGAAAGTCGACCATTCCGTATTTAAGCCCCCTGCAACCCCCTGCTCCTGCTCTGGCCGAGAGTTTCCGATCCTTTCTCCTCCAATCATCTGTTCATATACAGTCTTCGCTCTGCCGATGGGAGGGGACAGAGGGGGAACGGGGCGGGGCCTGTGGAATGTGCACGGGGGCCGGACCGTCGGACTGTTTCTGCAGGGAGAAGGGGGGACACACGAGGAAGGCACGGGCGGTGGAATGCGCCAGGTGGTCGCGCCGTCCCCTCGCTAACCAAGGGTTTGAAGTCTCGGCCATGACCGCATGAACGAGAGTTTTTTTAATACCACGCTGCGTGTCTCCCTTGACCTTTTGCAGCGTGCCAGAATGGCCCAACTGGTGTTGCCAAGTAGGCAACTTTTTCTACCTCTGGTCATTCCATACCG